GACGACGACGACGACGTCGACGACGACGGCGACGACGACAGCAACGACGACGACGAGCGAAAGCGAGAGCGAGAGAGAACGACAGCAGGGCCACAAGGACACGAAGTAGGCCACGAAGGGCGACAGCGGGGACACGAAGGGAATGCGTATGGGGCCACGAAGAGCGCAAACGACCGGGGGCCACGAAGGGCATACGTACACTGGGCCGCGGAGGGCAAGGACGGGGCCACTGAGGGCAGCAACGGGGCCACGAAGCGCAGCGAGGGGCCACGAAGGGCGACAGCGGGGCCACGAAGGGCAGGAAGAGGGCCATGAAGGGCGACAACGGGGCCACGAAGGGCATGCGCATGGGGCCACGACGGGCGCGAACGATCGGGGGCCACGAAGGGCAGATCATGCGGGGCCACAGAAGGCAACGACGGGGCCACTGAAGATAGCAACTGGGCCACGTAGGACAATGAGGGGGCCACAAACGGCGACAGCGGGGCCACGAAGGGCATGCACATGGGACCACAACGGGCACGAACGGGGGCCACGAAGGGCATACGTATACTGGGCCGTGGAGGGCAAGGACGGGGCCACTGAGGGCAGCAACGGGGCCACGCAGGGCAGCGAGGGGGCCACGAAGGGCGACAGCGGGGACACGAAGGGCATGCACATGGGGCCACCACGGGCGCGAACGAGCGGGGGCCACGAAGGGCATACATATATGGGGCCACGAAAAGCAGCGAGGGGGCCACGAAGGGCAGCGAGGGGGCCGCGAAGGGCTGCAACGGGGCCACGAAACAAGCGAGGGGGCCACGAAGGGCAGCTAGGGGGCCACGAAGGGCTACAACGGGGCCACGAAACAAAGCGAGGGGGCCACGAATGGCAGCAACGGGGCCACGAAGGGCAGCGAGGAGGCCACGATGGGCTGCAACGGGGCCGCGAAACAAAGCGAGGGGGCAACGAAGGGCTGCAACGGGGCCACGAAGGGCAACGAGTTCCCGATTCTTAGGTAATCTGTGAGGGAGTCCTAAACGTGAGCGCGACTCCTGGGTGCCTGGGTGTCGGGAGCGCGGCGCTTGAGCAAACTGCAAGAATTTCCAACGCAAGGACGCTATTCTTCAGTAAATTGCAAACAAGTCTCCAGCGAGAGCGCGACTCCAGAGCGCCGGGAAAGCGATTCCTGAATAAGTTGCAAGGATTTCCCGAACGAGAGCGCGATTCCTGAATAAAATGCAAGGAAGTCTCGGGCGCGAGCGGGAGTCCTGGCTAAGTTGCGAGGAAGTCTCAGGCGGGAGCCGTTGTTGTTGTAACCCGGGGGCCAACGACACAGTTTGACCCTCAAGACTTTCCCTGATAAAAAGCAGCGTGCGAGCCCCGGGAAGGGCACTTCAATCGATAAAAAACAATGTGCACCAGACAGGGGGAATCAACTATAATTATTCTTCATAAATGAGAGTTCAACAACAACAACAACAACAACAACAACAACAACAACAACAACAACAACAACAACAACAATTACTAGCACGTGGGGACACTCCGTTCTCACCAGTGCCAGGGTTTTCATAGGAGGCGGGCAATACCCCCACTTTGTGGGGGGGCCGGTTCAAGCTCTACCAAATTTCCAAACGACTCTTCGCCACCACCCACACCCAGCTTCCCGCCCTATGACGTTCGGACACTTCACTTCGTGGCATGCGGACGACCGTGGCTACTATTCAGGGCCCCGCGGCCGACGACGACGGCGTGCGCGCGCGAAGAAAAAACGAATGTGTCCCGCATGGTATTATTTGACAGGGATGATGGCCCTGGCAGGTGCGCAACCGTTGTCGCAGAAGTTCGAAAAAGTTGCTCGCAAAAGCCCGTTTGACAGAAATGTTTAAAAAGTGTTGGGTTTCCTACGAATCCGCAAGAGCGCGCGGGATGAGATTTTGACATTTTTTTGTTGAAAAACCATTGGTTTTTTGATGTTTTTATGTTAAAATCGCTCCGAACACTAAGCTTTTGGAAGGATTTCGTCTTGCGCGCGCGAATGTCCACTTTACCTTATTTTTTGCAAGGGATTCTTGAAATTTGATTATATTAGAACAAGAAATGTCATTTTATAGTGTTTTTTGCAAGGGAAAACGGATTACAACAAAACAACCGGATCTTGATCACATCGTATTACCTGAGGCTTCCTCACGAAAATGATGAAAATGTAGCTGCGGCCTAGGCGGCGCAGGGGGGCCGTGCACCAGGGGCCCAACAATAATTATTCTTTAGAATTAATAATGTTCAACAACAACAACAATTACTAGCACGTGGGGACACTCCGTTCTCACCAGTGCCAGGGTTTTCATAGGAGGCGGGCAATACCCCCACTTTGTGGGGGGGCCGGTTCAAGCTCTACCAAATTTCCAAACGACTCTTCGCCACCACCCACACCCAGCTTCCCGCCCTATGACGTTCGGACACTTCACTTCGTGGCATGCGGACGACCGTGGCTACTATTCAGGGCCCCGCGGCCGACGACGACGGCGTGCGCGCGCGAAGAAAAAACGAATGTGTCCCGCATGGTATTATTTGACAGGGATGATGGCCCTGGCAGGTGCGCAACCGTTGTTGCAGAAGTTCGAAAAAGTTGCTCGCAAAAGCCCGTTTGACAGAAATGTTTAAAAAGTGTTGGGTTTCCTACGAATCCGCAAGAGCGCGCGGGATGAAATGTTGACATTTTTTTTTGAAAAACCATTGGTTTTTTGATGTTTTTATGTTAAAATCGCTACGAAAACTAAGGTTTTGGAAGGATTTCGTCTTGCGCGCGCGAATGTCCACTTTACCTTATTTTTTGCAAGGGATTCTTGAAGTTTGGTTATGTTAGAACAAGAAATGTCCACTTTAGCTTATTTTTTGCAAGGGAAAACCGATCGTAACAACACAACCGGATCCGGACCAACCCGTTTTGCCTGAGACTTCCTCACGAAAATTATGAAAATGAGGCTGCGGCCTAGGCGCGGCGGGGGGGTCGTGCACCAGGGGTCCCAACAATAATTATTCTTTAGAAGTAATAATGTTCAACAACAACGCAACAAGCAGAGTTCTCACCACGAATTTCCTATTCAGCCACGCACCCAGGGACAATGAATGACCGTTCGGCCTCCTCACTCTGATATAGCATAGTCGACCCGCCGAAGAAAAGGACACCCGGGAAGGATGCAAAGGCCTTGGAGGGCCATGTCGACACTTGTCGGGCAGGGCGCGGCCGGCGAAAGCGGCCAAGGTTTGGCCGGCGGTGCAGGGTGCAAGGGCAACCTTGGGAAATTGCTCATCCTTGCTGCGCGTGTTGACTGCGCAATCACCTTGCGCGGAACGGCATGGAACGGAACGGAAGCCGGCACACGGCTCCGCGGGGGAGCTGTTGGGAAGGCCGAGGCCCGCTCACGTGTTGATGAAACCGTCCTTCACCTGGTCCCACGCTCATGAATTCGCAACCTCTGCACAACTGTCGCAACCAGCGGTTGCCAACACGTTACACCAGCGGCATGGACACAAAGCGCCCGCCACCGAGCACATGACCCAAACAGTGGTTGCACTCAGGGGTTCTCCATCTTTTCTCACGAACTGGGATGGTGTGCCTGTCTGGCGGCTGTGTTGTCGCCGTCGCCGCCCAGTCGCCGCCTCGTCGCCGTCCGTCGTCTGGGCTGGTGTGGCGCTCTGGCGGCCATGTTGTCGCCGTCGCCGCCCCGTCGCGACGCCTCGTCGCCGCCCGTCGTGGGCTGGTGTGCCTGTCTGGCGGCTACGTTGTCGCCGTCGCCGCCCCGTCGCCGCCTCGTCGCCTCCCGTCGTACATACATACATACATGTATACATACATACATACATACATACATACATTGCACCATGTATGTTGCACAACACAAATACCAGCATACACACTGCACCACATATGTTGCCTCAAGTCGACTACACAACATATATTGCAAACCAAAGTTAGTCCTTAAAAATGTAATAAAAAAAAATGTCACGGACTTAACCGCTAGCGCGTTCGTATAGCAGTTTACACATGCTCCTCCCCCATCTGTCCATCCGAAATATGAATTCGCACACTGTCAAGCAGCCCTTTTTTATCGCCCCCCTCCTCCTCTTCCGCAAACTAGTATGCGCGCTCACTCGTCTATAACAAATCATCAGCTGTCAAAGATATGTTGCAAGAAACGGGCGAACAGCACACGCGCGCATCGTCACGCGCGCATACCAAAACCATAAAAACTGGTGTCTTAAAGAATTGAAAATCGAGTGCCCCGGTACATAGTAACAATGTTTGGCATGCGTTCGCGCTCTGGCGAATTCTTGGAAAACCAGT